CTTCTTTTACTTCGTATCCTGCTTACAACCTTGACTGATCTCCCCGCTCGCCCTGTAAATTCCTCTCCCGCGACATGGTTCCGCGCTTTCGTGGAACCTCTCCCCTCCTGGCCCCGGAGCCTGCAGGCCACATGCGCAACAGGCCGCGCATCCCCCCCTTGTCCTAAGGCATCGTCGACCACTCCTGGACTCACGGGGCCTGGCCCTTCTGCCCCCAGGGCTCCCCTTCGCAGTGGCTGGTTCCGCGGCCCCTCGTTGAGGGAGATGACGGGCCTGTTTCTTTATATCCAGTGTTCTTTTGTCCCAGACCCCATCCCACTGGGAAATGATCTTTTCCAAGAGGTGGGAATCTTATTCCATCCCCCTCCCTGTAAACGTATGGGGAAGGGGTATCAGGACAGACAGCGAGTAACTGAGAGGACATAGAAAAACTGAGTCAAGAATGAGTGGCGTCATAAACAAATGGCAGAACATATAGGTGAGGGGTTTGCAGAGAGACAGTAAATGGGGGGGGGAGGCGAAAAAGAAACGGGGAGAAAAGCCACTCGGGAAACTTAGAGAAAACTCACTCTCCAGAGAGCTGAAAGATAACAAGATAGAGAGAGGGGCTGCAAAGGGGAGCACCTCAGACAGAGAGTGAGGCGAGGGGAGGAATGATTTAGAGCTACAGCAGACAGCAGTCTGGTGCTGGGACAGGATGGGACAATTGGTGATGAGAGCAGAGGGAGACAGCAGGAAGGAAGCTCGGAATTGGGGATGCCAGAGTGAGGGCCAGAGAGTGTATCAGGGAGAGGGAGATTATGGGGAGGGCAGAGATGGGGGAGGAAAGAGGCAGCAATGTGTGGAGATTGAAACAATCAAAAGACTGGGGAGAAAGGAACAAGAGATGCCAGTTACAAGCATAAGGCAGAACGGTGGAAGCAAATAGAGGGAAGAAGGGGAGGAAGACCAGGAGAGGAGAGGGACACAAAATGAGGGGCAGAAGCCCAGGGGAAAACAAAAGAAAAACAGCTGGAGAGAGAAGGTGGGAATGAGAGATAAGGACAGAGAGAGGGAGGGAAACAGTAGTGAAGAGGGGACCCTGGTCCAGATGAGTGGTGGCGTGATTGGACATGGACGAGTACATCGTGATATGTTGATTTGTGTGTATATAATCTAATTTTTTCTTTTGAGATAGGATCTTTCTCTTTGGCCAAGGCTGGAGAGCAGTGATACAGTTGTAGCTCATTGCAGCCTCAAACTCCAACTCAAGCGATCCTTCTGCACTAGCCTCCCAAGTAGGGAGGCTGGGACTACAGGTGCATGCCATCATACCTGGCTAACTTTTAACTTTTTTGCAGAGTTGAGATCTTGCTGTGTGGCCCATGCTGTACTCCTGGCCTCCAGCAATCCCTACCCCCTCCCAAAGAACTGGGATTACAGGCCTGAGCCACCACATCTCGCCCTTATAATCTAATACTTGTATTTTAAATACTTTGGTTTAAATTACTCAGATGCTGGAGTGAATAGCAAAAGATCTGTTCTGTAAAGCTGGTGCCCTTTATAATTCTCAGTGCTGGAGGGTAAATTCTGCATTTAATCCTTATTCAGCTGTAGGGCAGTGATTTGACTTATTCAGTTGTGGTTCACGCTCTTCCAGCACCAAAACATCAAATGTTTTTCCTCCTCTCTCGATCAATGCAGCAGTGTACACTCAACACAGCGTACTTCACCACAGGTTACCAAAGTGTATGAAGACTTCTTCCCACTAACAACCCATTTTTCATTAGGCACTGACTAGATGTGCTATAATTTAACTCTATTCTGACGTAAAATGCCTGGAGTTAGCTCCAGACTCGACTCGTTCAGGGCTCCCACTGCAGATGTCAGTCCAAAGTGCCAGGTTCTGAACTTCTAACTAGCTGCTATAAATTGGCACTTATTGCTGAACGGCGGGTCTAGCTTGTAATCCCAGCCCGTTGGGAGGCCAAGGCCAAAGGATTGCCTGAGCCCAGGGATTTGAGTCCAGCCCGGGCATCTTGACAAGATTTCCTCTTTACAATAAGTCAAAATATTAGCCGGGCATGGTGGGGCATGACTGTAGTTCCAGCTACTTTAAACACTTAAGTGGAAAAATCACATGAGCCCAGCAAGTCGATGTTGTGATCAGCATGCCACTGCACTCTTGCCTCGGTGACAGAGTAAGACTCTGACTCAAAAAAAAAAAAATGACATTTTCCTTACCTCCTCTTCTGGTTAAATTTATTTTACTGAGTGGCTCACAGAACTCAGGGAAACACTTGACTTAACGTACCCATTTTTGATAATGTATATTACCAAGGATACAGAAGAACTGGTTGTAAGAACTGTGCTAGCAAGTTAGTTGAATCCAAGGAGGGGGTTAAGACAACCACAATATTTATGAGATGTGTCAGAAGGTGGCAATGACAGGTTGCATGTGAGTGGGGAGCCTTGTGGGACTGAGCTCTTAACCTGTTTTGATGTTATCCTGTAGATAGGGTTAGAATTGAGTTAAATTGTAAGACCCCCAGCTGGGAGGTCCCTGGAGGACTGGTCAGGGTGGGTAAAACCATACACATCTTTTGGTCACTATAAGTGAAGCACTCTGTGTTGAGTGTGAGAGTGGTCACAACAGTTTGGGTTTTTCGCATCTCACACAGTGAACGGAAGAGATGTTTTCCAACCTGTCCACCCTCCTGTCTCAGGGCCTGTGATCTCCATAGAGACTGGGAATGGTCTGTCCCTACTCCTGGGTGTTGCTGACCCTATGATCGTGTCCCATGTGCCAGCCTCCCTTGCAGTCTCAGGACAGTATGGCCTACTTCTTCCATGGCATCATCAATTTTAATCCAGGGAATTATTTGGATCAGTGTACCCAGATGGAGGTATTGTCCATTAAAAGAGACACAAGCACACACACACACTGCCTTTTTTTTGTTAACATTCCTTCATCTTTCAAACAAAAGATTCTCTTCACTACTTTTCTCTCTGTAGTAAGTTACCCACTTCTGTGCTCCAGGCATAATGCTCTAAAATCTTCTTATGTTTTTTGAATTCTTGCCTCCAGTTTTTGCTTGAACCCTTGAAATCTTCCTTGAATCAAACTTTCACATCCAACATCTCGCAGATCCTTTCTTTTTCGGTCCCCAGGGTCCTCCTATTTCTAACTCCAAGATTTAATTTTTTTGTCCCATGAACTGCGTGTGGCAGGTTGACCACTTTCTCTGTTATCTTGGCTTTGAGCAGATGGCATTAATATTTAGAAACTCTTTGTGTTAATTTCCTTGTTGACTCCCTAGTCACTTCCTGCTTTCCTCTTGTGGTGTCTCCTGATCTCCCTGTTCTCTGAATGTGGCATGACCCCGGCTCAGTCCTTGAAACTTTTCTCGTCTCTGTCTACACCCACTGCCTTTCCTTGTCATCTCATCTCCAGGCTTTAAACCGATCTGCATGTCTCCAATTGCCCTGCAGACCTCTCCCCTGAACGGTGGAGCCTGTGTTGAGTTGTCCCCTTAACTCTGCTGGGATATCTAACAGTCCTCTCTCCCTTCACGTGTCCAGGAATGACTTCCTGAACTCCAAACGTGTTCCCTGCAGCCCTGCACATCTCAGATGAGGGCCAGCCTGCTCTTTCTAGGCCTTGATGAAACTGTTCACATGTATTTAAGATATAGAAGGTATGACATCATTTGTGAGTCAACTTATTTATAAGATAATGGTAAAATGTATGTTTATTTGATGGGTGATTAATTGCATATTTCCAAAATCGTTTTTAAGTATGGGAGAAAAATGTTTGGAGCTTTGGTTCCTCCCTGTTCTACTGCCCCAGGACCCCTCTGGCCTCATCTCCTCTTCTGTCCTTCTCGCTCTGCTGCATCCACACGGGCCTCGCCCCTCTTCCTGGGGTAGAAGCTGCTCCTGCCTGAGGGCCTTCAATTGGAATGTCCCTCTGCCTAGAACCCTCTGACCCTCAGCTGCAGGTTCAAACTCCCTTCCCCCAGGTCTTTGTTATGATGTCATCTTCCCCGTGGAGCCTTCTGTGCCTTCCCATGTCCCAAGTTGGCATTCCAGCCACACCCTCAGCCTGACCTCTGGTCCATATTGCCTGCTCTGCATGTGTTTTTTCTTTTCCCTTGTCTCTCACTGTCTGAATCCTGGTGATAAAAAGATCACAAGGAGAGCGCAGAACCTGAAGGTGGGAGATGGGCTGGGCCAGCCCCCTGAGTGGAGATCAATCCTGCCTTCTCATTAGAGTCCTGAGGTGTTTTGGAGAAATATCTCTTATGCCCTCTTACCAGATACTTTCATTCAAATAGGTAGGACTAAGGGTTAATAATGTTTAATGTTGATTCGAATTGGTATCCAGTATAGAGCACCAAGGCCCTGTGTCCTCCCTTTCTGAGGACTGAGGTCAGTCTGTGGTCCACAGAAAGGTGGCGGGAGGGCTGTACTCTTCATGGGATTTGATCAGGACTGGGTCTCCTGGAAGGGAGCTCAGCCAAGTCCAGCTCCCAACTTCTACAGCTAGTTTAGGCTCCTCCAGGGGGGAGCAGGTTCTGAAGAAAGGGGCCAAAAGATTTACACTTGGTGTTCTTCTTGTAGGAGTTCATTGTCCCTGATTTCCATCTGGTGCAGTGGGCGGCAAAACACCGTCTTTCCACAGGGTGAGGTCTTTGCTGTGTGTGGTTGAGGCACAGGACAGGGATGTGTTGATTCTGAGCAATGGACAGTATGTTATTGCCATCTAAGGTTGTGTATGTGTGGCAGGGGTTAATTATCTTGTTGTTTTGTTTTGTTCTGTTTTGTTTTTTTTGTTTTGTTTTCAGTTGGGGATCTACTCTGTTGCTGAAGCTGGAATGAAGTGGCATGATCACAGTTTACCTCAGCCTTGACCTCCTGGGCTCCGGCAATCCTTCCATCTTTTCCAAGTAGCTGGGACTGCAGGTACTTGCCACCACACCTGGCTAATTTTTGTATGTTTTGTAGAGATGAGGTCTCGCTATGTTGCCTAGGCTGGTCTCAAATTCCTGGGCTCAAGTGATTCTCCTGCCTCGACCTACCAAAGTGCTGGGATTACAGGCATGAGCCACTGAACCTGGCCCAGTGTTTCTTATCAAATTTTAAAATGAGAGTTCCCTCAGCTTGGTGGTCATCCTCTCTGAAGGCAACCTTATAAGGTTTGGGAAGCCCACTCAAGTGGGTCACAGAAGGAGTATTCTACTGGTAGAGTAAGCACAATAACACATTCAGTAGTAGTCTGCTCTGAAAATATAAAGCATGGAACGGTACTTGCTCTAAAAGAATTCCGTATGGGTCAATCACTGACCATGACCACGTTTGGGAATCAGGGCTCTTTGCTCTAGAGACAGTGCTTCTTGACTCGGAGCAGCTTATCT